AATTTAAACGGACAATTGCATTTCTTTGAACCGGTGTTCCTTTTTCCCGGTCCTTGATCATTTTCACGTGGTACCTTCTTGTCAACATAATGGCCCCCTCGTTCACAACGATCAATTACATACGGTGTCTTACGTCCTCTATCCCCGTCACTCGAACCCGCAATCATTAACTCCATTCCAATTATTTTACATGCTTCACGAATCCATGCCATTAAAGCTTATTTTGTAGGGAATTTTTTTGACGTGGTAAACGAATTGGTGCAATAGGTGTACACAATAGGGTAGATATTCGACGCCTAGGTGTTGTGCATTGCATCATAATTCGACACTTAGGAGTCGAAATCGAAGGGTATTTTCGACACATACATGTCGAAAATAAGGGTATTTTCGACCTGTATGTGTCGAAAATACATGGCGAGTTTTAAAAAAAAAAAAAATTCAAAATCGATGTTTTAGCTCAAAAAATACATAAATACATACCTGAATGGGTTCTCCTTGCTCGTAAACTACCATTCTATTGTCATTTGAGGCCATTTTGCAAGTTGTGTAAGGTTTTGATTTCTTTTGTTTTGGGGTTTTTTAGGAGGGTTTTTGGGGAGGGAGAAGAAGGAGGTGGAGGAGGTGAGGGGTTTGGGAGTGAGGAGGGAAATGTTTTTTTAGGATTTTGATTATTTGGTTTTTAAGAAAGAAAAATAGTATTTGTAATATTTTTTGGTTTTAATTTTCATTAAGGGTATTAAAGTAATTTACAATTAATTATTTAATTTCTATTTTTTTGGTATTCATCTAAGCAAAAATTAGTATTCAAAATAGTTGTTCCCTTAATTTAACGCATTTTTAGTATTTCAATAATTTTTATCCTGGAAAAAGTGTCAAATGCTAAAAACACGATTTAGTCCTGGTAAATCGCATTCGAACAACGTTTCTGACTTTGGACTTAAAAATGCAATATCCATAATAGTTTGGGCAAGATTGTAAACTTTTAATACTTGAAGACCAAAACCCTGATTTCTTTTCTCTGGCACTATTTCTATACATTTCCAGTACTTCCTCTGAAACTCCATTTTCCGACTTCTCGGTAGCTACAACATCTCACCACACACACTCATCGCCTCCCGTATTTAATCAATTTGGGGAGAAAAGATGGCGGCGTGGACGGCGGCCGCTCGCCAAGCTGCAAACATTGCTAGACTCTCCTCTCCGAAATCAGCAGCTACCTCCGCCCGAGCTTCGATCCTGGTTCAGCGCCGCGGTCTCGCCGGCGGTGGCGGTAAGGTTTCCATTCCTCATTCTTACTTAATTCGATCTAGAAATTTCGGTCCATTACATTTTCCCATCGATTTTTTTTTCCTGATTATGATTGTATGTGTTCGTATGTATTAGATCATCACGGACCTCCGAAGGTGAATGTTTGGGATGACCCGATGAGTCCGTCACAGTGGAAAGAAGAACAAGTACGTTTTCTTCAATTAGTTTCTCTGATTCCTTTTTTCTTTTCCAATTAGTGGATCGGATCATTTGGGATTTTAGTAGGTTATATTAATGTTATTTGAATTGTGTTTTGGATAATTATCCGGGTCAGAAAAAAATGCTTGACGGAATTCTTAGATTGCAAACTGAATGATGTGCATTACGGAAGAAGAGCTCACCGTAAACAGGAATTTTTAGAGTATCAATATTGGATACATCGCGTATCGTATGACACACTAGCTTACTATTTCATATTTGCAGCATCTGTATCGTACATAAATTCTTGCTCGTATATTTTGATGTTTACTATGGGACTTAAAAATTTATGAAATAGTTGCTCGTGTGTTGATTACAACGGCTAATGCGAGTATAGAAAACCCGATGCCAGTGGAAGGAATGAGATTATGAGCATATAATTCTCTATTTATCATTATAAATTGCTAATAGTCTTCTTATTTTAACATGAAATTTTGATTAATTAACTGAGCTTTTTTAAATGTTTACAAATGTGAGAGCAATTCTCGCATTAAAGAATGCTAATTGATTGAGATTTTCTAAATGTTCAACTCAATGTATATTACTTTTCAGTCTTTGCGCCAAATTCATTCGATAACCAAGATTTTCACGTATGGAAGCAAAAGAATGTTAATTGGAAAGAAAAGAAACAAATTATTTTAAAGAAAATCGGAAATAGTTTTGTCTTGCAGGTCGAGGTTATAACCTATTGCGAAGAGGTGCGAACACAAACTCGAAAATCTTTAGTCAGCCTAACTAGTTTTGCTTTTGGTGTTTCACAGTTTGTGATTGTATCTCTTACTGGCTGGGGATTGCTCATTTACGGAGGTTTCAAGCTCTTCTCAGGGGGCAAGAAAGACAAAAACGAAGAGGTACTATTATTATTATATATTGATTTTGTTCACAATTCGTTATTCGTTCGTGGTTTTATTTTGGGCTTCAACATATATGTTTGTGTATAGAGATTTTCGATGCGGCAGTCTATCTATATTATACTAATTTGCACTGTGTCTTGTGTCGTTTGCAGAAAGTTGGAGGAGGGGCACACTAGTCTCGGGGTTAGACGTGCATTCGGAATAAAGAGTGGCTACTTAGATAATGACTTCAGATTGTAGGTGCAATTTTGGCCAGTGCTAGTTTTGTAAGGATCATCTGTGTTTCAGATTGATCGATATGGAATTTACGTTATCGGGAAAAAAAACTTTCAATTCTTTACAGAAGCAAAAAATCGATTATGAATTTGTTCCGATTTTGCAAATTTTGGAATTTTCGAAAATTTGATGTATAGTTACATTTCCGATTAAAAACAAATCAGAAAATTTGGAAAGAAAAACTCGTGTTCCAAAACTTGAATTTTTTTAATTGAATTTGACGAATTTAAAAATTCCGTTCTGATTTCCACCATCTTAAAGAATCTCATGGTGTGTAGCGAGGTGATAGATTCTGCTCATGAATTTCATTTTGCAATATAATATATTTGGCTATTTTGATTATAGTAACTCGTAAGTATGATTTACACAAATCTACTACGAAATATCGAACGGCATACTTTTCACGACCGGAAACGGAGTTCCATCTCGTCTGTCAAACTTCCCTCTTCCATTAGCTTTCATTGGATATAATTCCATACAAGGTTGATTTTCTCAATCATACAACAAAACTACTACTCTGCATCTCTTATTTCTGCTTCGATATCCACCACAGATCCCTTCGAAACTTTTCCTGTACGTAATATTACGAAAGTAATCGTCACCACAAGATAATTCTGAATAATTATTGATATTTGATGGTTTAGTTTCTCTTATTCACTTAATAAGAGAAGAAGCAAACCTTTGTTTTTACGAGGAATATCGCCATACGCTTGATTAAATTTTGTGGATTGATTCGAAAACATCACTGGATCACTAACAAATTCATTGCCTTCCACTGCATATTACAAATGAACGAGCGATTCTTTAGCTTACATAAACATGCATGCCACCACAATGTAGTTCTACATCGCTTATACAATAAAAACTAAATATATATATAAAAAACTTGTTTTTGAATATGTGATAAAAACTATGTAATAAAGTAAAATTAGATTAGAGAAACAAAGGAAATCAGATTAACTCAATGCGGTAAAAAGACGAATCGGCCCCTATACCTGAAAATGGCTGACTACAGAACGGACATAACTGCAGCTCGTCATTCAATGTTGATCTGCAAATAAAAAAATAAAAAAATTGAATAGAGAATCAACCAATAAAATTACAAGCTTAAGATATTAATGAAGGGTTCGAGTATATCGTACTTGAATACTTGAAATTCATTTCCGCAATTTGGGCACTGTGCGAAAAAAGGGTTTCGTTAATGATCGGATCTTTAAACATCTAATCACACCATCGTGTATCGTAAAAAGAAAAGCAGAAGAATCATTAATCTAATAATGAAGTCCGAGGGCTCAACAACTTAAGCAGCACAGTGGTAAAATTACCACTAATCTACAAAAATCAAGTGCCGATAAGCACGAGTTTCAGAATAACGAGCCTTAACAAACAATTAAAATCTTAATATAAATGTCCCCACAGAAGGAATAGTAAAAACGATCTTCTCATGCCTAAGAAAATAAAATCATTTGAATCCAAGAAAGCTCATAAAACAAACAAGTATCAGTGAAAATATATTTATTTCGAACATGCAAGCAGGATCGTAAATATTACACGGGTTCTGAAACCATCAAAGCAAAAAGGCCGAACGTAAGTAGGCGAAATGTATAAATTACAAAGAGCACAACTGCATGACACATGGGTAGTGGTTGAAGCATTTACAAACACATTATTGAATTCGGGCATGAGACGAAAAGAAGTCGAATAGCACGTGAATGACGTTAAAGATATCTTACATTGCTTTGGACAATATCTCGGCCTGCCCACCATAGAAAAGCTCCGATACCCACAATCGGTACAAGCACCGCAAGAAGCTGAAAAAAAAAATTTCCAACGAAAAATGCTTTTTAAATAATCCGCGATGCATATTTTCTACGAAAAAACGTAAGGTTTATTGAATAATAATACAATATTCTGCATAAGGAATTCGAATTTCGAAAACAACAATAGTTATTTAAAGATAACAAAACCCTAGAATTATGTGGTACAGCAAGGAAGATAATTACATATCTGAATTAAATAACTTAAATCCTATTCTAACAATATAGCAGATGATTTATAAATCCATCCATCCATACATACATACATATATACATACATACATGATACATGTAAATAATATCATAAAAATAAAAATAAAAGAATGGAGGAGAAATACCCAAATGGAAACAATAGCATCAAGAAGCCAGCCCAACTGCCCAGTCATAGAAAGATAAGTCAGTAAAACTGCCAAACCAAGATTCCCCAACATCCTTGCTGTCTCGCCGCTAATTCTCCCACCACCACCGCCGCCGCCGCCGTCGCCGCCGCCTCCACCAAGCCCATTAAAGCCGTTATTGAACTTCACCGCGACTGCCCTCTTCCTCCTCCCTTTACTCACCAAAATTCCATCTTTGCCCCTGCCCACTCCTAGCAATGGCAAATTATCCCCCAACGCATCAGATTTGAACCTGCCTTTGCGGAAAGATTCAATCTTTAGAGTTGGGTGGGGGTAATAATTGCTGGGTTGTGGTAATTCGAACTTGAAAGAAGTGTTGCATTTGCATCTGTGGGGAGGGTGCAGGGCTGATGAGAAATTGATGGAAACATGTAGTAACGCTGGCATGGCAAAAAAGCTTTTTTGTCTTGTGTTAGATGAAAGTTGTTTATGTAAGAGAAGTTATTATTGTTGGTGCTTGTCTATGGCGCGGTGGAGAAGTAGTGGAGCTCTTAATTTCATGGTTTGGATGATGGAGATGATAATAAAATTGAATTGATTTTTCTTTATTGATTTTGCTCTCTGCCTCTTTGTTTAGTGAACAATATTATTATTAATTTAACGCAAAAATATTAGGGTAAATTACACTTACACTTCTGAGGTGTGCTAAAATAACTTTAAGGTCCATGTGGTATCGATAATTACAATTAGCCCCCTGAAACATAGTTAGAAGTTCTAACGGAATAATGCATTGAATAAGTTATTCCATTAGATTTGTAATGAACTATTAGTTTCAGGAAGTGGTGGAGAAAATATAGAGTCAGGGGATGAGACGGCTCTCCCAATATTTCTTGAATCATCCCTAGCTCTATGTTGACACCACCACTTCCTGAAATTAATAGTTTGTTCGAAGTCTCACCGTATAACTTATCAAATGCATTATCCCGTTATAGCTTCTACAATGTACATGGAGGTGATTGTAATTATCAATACCAATACCACATGAACTTTAAATTTATTTTATCATACCTTAGAGGTATGGGCGTAATTTACCCTAATATTATCTTGGAGTATTATTTGACTCTGCACTCTTTTGTTCTATGTAGAAATAATTTAGCCAAAGATAATCCAAGGAAGACTGAAGTATCTGTTTCCAGGGAGGGACCATTCTGGAAATTGATATTTTCGTTCGTTTATTAACTGCAGTAATCATCTTATAGATATAATGACTGCCGCAAATTACGGCCAACCCCTGAGATAATATCAAATTGCTAAAATACCCTTTTTGTTTGGATATTACAACCACTCCCTTAAGTACGTATTTCTTATGAAAAACCGGTCATTTGGTAAGTAAATTTGACACTACAAGGATGGACGTGTAAGACAATGCAAAGTTGATAGATGATTGTAATTACCAAAACAAGAGAGAGGTTTTCGTGTTGGCCGTAAATTGTCCTATTGATTGGGAAGAAAAAGTCATTTGCAGCCAATATATAATACTCCCTCCATGCCAAAATATCTGTCGCTTTGGGTTGTTGCGCACATATTAAGAAAATTAATAAATGTGCGTCGATTTTAGAGAAAAAGTATATATAATGACTAAAATATCCATGTTATTAATGTTGTTTCCATTAATTTTTAATCAATTAATGAATAGTAATAGGGGTAAAATTGAGAAAATAGTAATTAATGCATCATTGAAATTCTAAAGTGACAGATAATTTGAAACAAGAAAAATCCCCCAAAGCGACGGTTAATTTGGATCGGAGGGAGTATAAAATAGAGTTTCTTCCAAAATGGCCAGTTGATTCACAAAAACTGTAAACACAAGGCCGAAAAGAGAAGCCGTGGTACTATTCTTATTCAAAGATACAAATACAGAAGCTAAAAAGACATAATAATAATAATAATAGCATCATATTACCTATGGTTTACACACACATACACCATGAAGCAAGAATGTTATTGCAATCAATCCTAGGTTTCCCCATTCACTCTTTCTTCTTCTCTTCTGCCTTTTCCGAAATCGATCCCTTTTGATAAGGCTCGGCGGTGTAAGCATACTGCATAAGTCGAGAGAAGAAAACCATCTCAACAATCACAAGCGTATTCTGCAGCGCTTCCTGTAGATGCTCCACATCAAGCCAGAAATGGTTCGATTTTACTATCCCGATTGCCACAAGAATATCCAGCACAATTCCCTAATAAGGAAACGAAGACGAACTCATAAGCATATACGAATCCTGATTTCAAATCATTTTTCATTAGGAAAAAAATATTTCGTAGCCACATTTTATATATATACCTGCCAGAAACAGAAGAAGACGATGCCTTTTACACACAAGAACTTGGCTAGAGGTTTGTGTGGGGCCAGCTCCTTAGCAAAGACATGGTAGAAGATTACGAGAGAGTACAAGGCCAGCGAAACGGAGGTGTTTAAAATGAGGGTAAATGTCCAGCTAAGCCAGCTCGGATAAATGTCGAGAAGTTGAAGTGCTATCATCAAGACAGAGCAAACGGGGCGAATATAAACAAATTGCCATGTCCACTGCTTGAGAAGTGATAAGTTTTTGTGGTCCAAACGTACGGTGTGAGGCTGCAATTAAAATATTATTATAATAACGATCAACGAATTAACACACACAAAAAAAAAACAATGTACATAAATATATATAGATTTCGAGTTGTACCTGGAAAAAAGTCATCGGAAACGAGTGATGGATTTCTCTTCCTTTGATTCCGTCGGGCACTATATTTTTGCTGATTGATATGTTCAAGTAAGTATACATCAAACCCAAGAACTTAGCCATCACCTGCCATTACACGAAATAAAACTTAATTACGTTACATGAATGATCTTAAGCAAAGACAAAAGACGGTTATCTCGGTTTATCAAGAAACTCACCAGAGCTTCGTAACATTCTTTTATAGAATCCAAGAAAGTGAAAAATGTTGTACTCCCTCGAATGTCGAGCAAACCGACGTAGGAGTCAATGGCGTATAAGGGAGCCATGAGTACGATAATAATTATTGCCTTCTGCTCCTTCGGCTTCTTCCAAGATAGGTAGTGTTGAGAAACTAACTGTATTGAGAAGTGCAGAGAGAGCATGACGCACACGGTCGATCCCATCAGTGTAAATTGGCCACGATCCATGGCTAAACAGAGAAATAAGTTTCAACCTGCAAACACGTATTGAATCTCAATTGCAATAATGAAGCTAATGATTAATCCCGTGAACTAACTGCACGGGCGAGTTAATGGAAAAGAATCTTACTCCAGATTTTTCACTATCATAAAAGATAATTTATCATAAAGATTCAAAAAATAATGATTCGGGGTTTTTTTCAATAAATGCGAACCCGCAATATTATTCTTCTTCGAGAGGGGAAAACAGCTAGCATATAATTCCGTTAATACGGATAATGCAAAAGGAGACCTCCAGGCCATAATCTACTAAGATAGAAACGATAAGTAGATCTGTTGGATCCATTCGAACAATTTGAATTTGCCATTTAATTTTAAATTATCAGAATTAACAACTCAAAACTGCGGCACGACTTCATAATAGCTATTAATTCATCATTGTAATACGATTCATCTTCAGAAGTTGCGTAAAACCTTATTCTATGCAGTACTACTTACTAACAGGTATCAATCTCAACAGCATACATAATAGCATGATCAACCTAACAAGTAGTTTAACCTTAATTGAAAAAAACACAGTAAAAGTACACAAAATCAAAACCTAGGTAATCAAAATCACACACATCACAAGCAACAGAACGGAAACAAATTCCCCAGGCAAGAACAGCTCGTAATTGCTAAAAGTCCGCAAATGTGACTTATTTACATAGATAGATGCAGCGTACTCTGATTTGGAGAAACGGAATTGAGATCGCTTGATGAAGGAAGGAAGAAGGGAACACTTACAGAGATGAGGGGAGTGAATTTTGACCGGAGATGTGAAGAAATCAGACAAGAGTTGATTGCTTTTGTTGTCGACGGAATGAACCGAGATTGTTGGATTTGCCGAGTCTTGACTTTAATATGTGCTTCAAAAAATATCAATTTGGGTAAAAAACAAATTTAAAAATAATAATAATGTGAATTAATAAATGAAGGAATGGGGGAGGGTGTAAAGATGTAATCATGTATTATTGGAGTCGTTGGATTTGTAAAGGTTTGATTGTTAGGTGAGATATATATACATATACATATATATGATGAGAATTGAATTGAGAAGCCAAAAAAACAAGAATATCAGCGGTGAAGCCAAAGACTGTGTGATAGTGGGTCTATTGGGACTGAATAAATAAAAGATATTTGTTACAAGATTTGCTTTAATGAATGAACGTGATTGTACATGGTCTTGATCACGATTAAATTAAGGATTCTTCTTCTTTTTTTTTGTAAATGTTTAGTGATTTGAAGAAATTGTAGTGAATGGTTAGTGATTTGAAGAAGTAAATCCCCATTTTAAAAAGTAAAATATTGAAACATATACAATGATTCTATTTGATTTTGTAGATGCTACACCCGGTGAAATACGTCATGTGATTATGACATTCTGCATCGTTGATCTACGTATAATAACGCATGTGTGTTTAGTAAATGGTTCTTTTTATAGATCTGTAGTACAAAATTACCCAATGTTTTCACCATGTATAGCATCTCATAGACCATTTTATTCTATATTACTAATTCATATTAAGAAAAAGAAAAAGGAGGATGAAAAAAAACAAATGTAGTACGTGTTCTTTTTCACCTTCAATAGATGAGACCCCTCACATATATCTAGCTAGCTAGAATGAAGATTGAGCCAACTACAAAATTTAATGCATATATACCAAATACTATTTGGCTAAAGATTATTATGTGTGTGGACGGTACTTTTTTTTCTTTCTAATGTCATTGTTAGTAATGATAAATTTAATGATTTTACCGGGTGAATTTTTACCGTTGATCTACGTATGCCAATGTGGGTGTGTGCGCGCTTGTGAATGATAAAGATCTACCCGATGTATTACACCCGGTGTAGCATAGTATAAACCGGGTATGGGAATGGGGCCATATATTACATATATATCCAATATGAATTGAATGATTGACCGACAAAGCCCCCCATAGAATTTAACTTGCATCTGTTAAATGTAATAACTAATACATGTTACTAATTTTCCCGCGAAATTGGAAGATAACAAAACTTGACTCATCTAAAAGCTCTTATCCGGACATGTTACTAATTTTCCCGCGAAAATTTCGACTAACAATGGCAGAGTGCAATTCAAAGCTGGTAACTGCACCACAAAATTGAACACTTAGAACATGGTAGACCAAAAACATTAAGGGCAGTTCTTGCAATCATCCTACTACTTAGTATAACTTTAAAAAAAAAAAAACATATATTCCGTCATGTATTTAAGGCAAAATTCACAATTAAACCTTACCAACTAGTTTGCAGTAAGAAATAATGAAGAATTTACGCCAGACTGAAGCCACCTCTCAAGAGCATCACATTAGCCACAAGATCGGTTGATGGATGGAGAGTGGTGAGATTAAAGTTGAACGAGTGCACCATTAAAAGAACCGATATGTGTTGTATTCTATAATACTTTTAGAACCTCCCCTAGAACTAGTCCCCACTGAGTCCAATGGCTGCCTCCCTGTTCATGAAATTCATACATAAAATCGAACATACTAAGTAAATAACAGGATGGATTGAATCGGTTCATAGAGATTCAAAGGGATACACAAATAGATTTCCACTTGTGCATTTTTTTCTGGGAAGAAGTAGAAAAAGGTTTATTTATAAGAAGTGCAGGAGCAAACGGGAGCGCGCACCTGACAAAACACAGCAAATGGCTCACGCAATGGTCCATCGCATGAAAGTTCGCTCGTACTTCCATCAATAAAAGTCCCATCAGCAAATACCACCTATGCCACACAAGTAATTTCCCATTGGAATCACAAGATTCTCAGAATCAAGAAATGCGATGTGAAAGAAATGAAAGCCCGCAAATAGTTATTATATTTGGATTTTTTTATAACTGAATTGGGTACTGGAATCAGCTAAACAATACCTCAGATGCATAGCCAGCGGTGGCGCCTGCTATGGGCTTTGTAAAAGAACTAACTGGAGAACTTCTCTGCACAGCTTGGCAGAAAGCAAGCAGGCGCTCACGGCTTCCAAGTTGTACCGCCTGAAAATGCAGGACAACTTATGTAGTACCAAATCATCGGTTCATTGATATATTAATAGAATAATAACACATGGGATGTAAATTTACTCAATAAACCTGCACTACATCATGGCGAGGAACCCGGCAACCTGGTTGCACCTTGTATCCTTGACCTGCCATGACTTCAGCAATCAGAAGGCTTCCCTGTTAATAGCTTAAGATGTGATGACGTGGCACATATAATAAAATAAAATTAAACAAAACAAAAACACGAAGCACACAATAAATCTGATGGCTTATAGTTTACCTTTACAGCTTCCCCAACCATTTGAGGAGCAAGGTACAAACCCTGGAAAAATATTCGCATAATATCACCTGGAGTTGAACCGCAGTCAACTCCTAGACCTGGTGCTGAGAGACGAGCAGCTGCTGCCGCTACCCATTTTTTTCTTCCGGCAACGTAACCACCGCATGGAGCAATTGTTCCACCGGGATTCTTCATAAAACTTCCGGCAATTAGATCTGCACCCTGCCAGCCACACAACAGCACCATCATCCTAAATCTTGATACCGAAAAACTCTAATGATGAAAAGGAGAAATTACGAAAGAAAAATAAATGCTATGTACCACCATCGGAGGCTCAATTCTCTCCGTAAATTCACCGTAGCAGTTATCCACCATGACTAGACAATTTGGATTCTGAGACTGTATACAAACATGGATGGTAAGATAAGTAAGATGACAAATCCTTGCTTATAAAGAATGGAGAAATGTTACCTTGATTATCTTTATGGCCTTTCCGATCTCATCTACACTCAAGCTGCGTCTCCACGAATAACCACATGACCTCTGAATGAGTGCACATTTTGTTTGAGGTTTCAGGGCAACACTTAGGGCAGCCCAGTCTAGCCCTCCATCCTCGGCTAGCTGTACCATGATAAATCAGAAAATCAACACTTGTAAGAGAAAAAGAAATCTGAGCATATATACAACTGAATGAAAGCATACTAGCAGCGACATACTGGCACTTCTCGATAGTCTATTCCGAAATCTCGTAAAGAACCTAAACCATCGGAATCCCTAATTCCGATAACTTCCTCCAGTGTATCGTATGGAGCTCCAGCAACTGCTAGAAGCTGACAAATAATCAGTCTAAGCATGTTATTGATGCATCTTAAGCACAGAGCGGTGTACACAAAGAGTAAATCTTAAAACAAGAAATGAAACAGTGCGAAAGAAAAACAAACTACCTCATCTCCAGGTCTCAAGAAAGCAAATAAGGCACAGGTGATTGCATGAGTACCTGAGAAGAACTGGAATCGAATAATAAGTTAAGAAAGTGTATCACCCCCTTCGACCAGAGAAGAAAAATAGGTAATGGCAAACCTGTGCTCTAACAATTGCAGACTCGGCACCAAAAACTTCTGCAAAGACTTGATCCAGGGCTTCACGCCCACCAGCTTCTTCATGACCGTATCCTGTACTGCCGCCAAAATGCTGATGCGGATATATACATGTCACGGGAAAGCACAAAAAAACGCTAAATAAGAGAAAGCTAAAAAATCGTGTAATTGACCTATAAGCTATGCAAGAGTTGTGATATATGGGAATTACAATACTCCTTCATGTTTTTTGATAAATACGTTAATATGTGACCTAGTCCCTTAATTTTGTACGGGATTATGGTAAAATCAATTCTTAAGAAATACTTTAGTAAAATGTTGCTTTAATTGGGGTTGAGTGTTATGTTACTGATGGTATATGATTTGGAAGTTTTTCAACGATCAACAAACAAATAATGGATATTAATTAGGTAACCAATGCCTTTCGTGCTAACGACGGATTATGAACAATTAGCACAAGCAATGCTAGTAAAAGGCAAACAAAATAGGAAGCTTAAATTTCTGTGAAATTCGAAGCTTACATGAGATCCAACACGAGCATTCTGAAACGCTTTGAGCACGCGCGCAGAGTTTCGCGCCACCAAATTATCCACTGCTCGGAACTCCGAATACAACGAGTCCACCGCTTTCTCAACCTAATCAATTGCCAATAAATCACGAAAAAATAAAAAAATAAAAATATAGGTAGACAAAACTATCCCTGAGACATCGAATTTGATGAGTGTGATAAGCTAGTGTGCAGCGATGGGTTGTACCTCCGGAACAAACACTTGTTCCTCGCAACGGAGAGAGGCAACTGAGGCTCGAGACTTTGAGAGCACAGAAACTGTGATTCTGGTGTAAGAGGCGGCAGCGGCGGCGGCGCGTGGGCGGGATAAGGTGAAACTGAGGGTAGGATGAGCCGAAGTGGTGAAGGATGAGAGAAGTAACATTTTCTTCACAAGAGGACTACTTTTTTCCGGTTACTAATATTTAATTGAAGGCCCCATACCTCTGAGCCCCTAGTTAAAAAAATAACAATGAAATAGTAAATATTGTTTCAATTTTACTAATATTATTTTAATTTTAAATGGAGTTTTGACACCTTTCTAGTTTGATTTTAGTAAAATTTAAAATACAAAATATATAAATTTTTAAGTAACTTTGTAATATAACTTGAACAGTTAAATTGAAGGTCTAATGAAAATTTTATATATGAATGAGTTACATTTTGAATTTTAGATAACTCAATTTTTTTTTTTTGTTAACGTTTATTTATTCATGCATATCTTTCTCATCCGACATCCAATCTTGGTGGTTCAAGTTGTATTAAAAAGGTTACTCGAATAACTGAAAATTGTGTGTTTTGAGTTTTGGCTAATTCAGACATGCAAATAGTTAAAATCTCGTTTAAAATTGAAATGATATTATTAAAACTAAAACAATATTCATCACGTGTCTAAAAAAAAATAGCGCAACATTTAGTTTTATAATAATGATGATGACCATGTAAATATCATGTACCATAGTATTAATTTAATGCACTAAGATTCATGAGAATCAAATCTCTATCTTTTGTGTTCAATTTTTTTGTTCAAATACACATCCTTTTCGACATGTTTCATTTAATTTATGAGAATTATCGCATGTGTTACATTTGCAAATTGCAATTTCACAATTTCAGATTAATAAAGTTCGCTCATTAATTTTTTTTTTTTAATAAAGTTCGCTCATTAAACAAAAAGTTTAATAAAGTTCGAATTATTATCAGAAGCCACACACAAACTTAGCTCCACTTCGTAGCAATAAACTCCACTCTCGTACAATAAACGCATGTTACATGAAAAATGTATTAATAAACTCTATTCTCGTACGAGAAATATAAACCATACTGAGAATTTTCACGACGATATTTATTCAATTGATCAACAAAATTTGTCAAAATACAATATTTTATGTGATTGGGGGTGTTCATTCAGACCGTGCCGAACCATACCATAAATTTGGTTAAATGAAATTTCAGTAGTTTACCAAATCGAACTAATTAATTTGATTTTTTCTGTTCGATACCGGTAAAACTGAAAATATATTAAAGTATTATAAAAAATGTCAAAAAATAATATTTAAACAAATTAATTCTAGAATTTGACATTCAAATTTCTATAATCAACTCTAAAACCAAAAGGTGATTATCAATAGAGGCTAATTTGTAAATAATGGGGAAAAAATATCAATCTAAAAGAATTTAAAATAAAAGAATAAATAAATAAATATTAATTACATATTTCGGTATTCGGTATACCGAGCATAAATTCCACATACCGGGATTCCAAAAATCTTTACCGAATACCGAGCCGAATTTTCGGTTCGATATTTGGCACATACCAGATTTTTGGTTCGGTTCAGTTCGATCGATTTACCATCAAGTGAACACTCCCCTACACACAATGCCGCACACAATTTTCAATAAACTAAAAAAAAGACTATCATTATCAGATCAATTCAGCCGATGTCTGAATCAGTTCTAATCAAAATTCATATTCGATTAAAAAAAAAAAAAAGTGTCTTCTACAACACAAACCATTGTATAATGAAAACTGCAAAAAACATCAAAATCTAAAAATAATCCGATTATAAAAAACACTGTTTTCTACAACACATCCACTGTATACTGAAAATTGCAAAAACATCAAAATCTACAACAGCTGTATATCCTTTCTTTACAAGCTAATGCTCCGAGTATTAGATACACAGATTCAAAACACCTTCGACCAAATGGCAAACGGGCCATTTCGAGCAAGTTTCCAAAATCGCATCCCTAATTCCGCAAAATCCCGATTCTGCCCACCCCTATACGAAAAATGACCAAAATATCCTCTAATAACAATTCGTCCGCATTTAGTTATCCAGCAACAAAGCGGGGCCTACCCCTACCCCTCCTCGAGCTATTAAGTTTCGTAATCAATGCATCGCTCGAAAACCCTAACGCATCTGCACCCATCAACTTCAGCCCAAGATTCCGGAACAAAAACGAAATCTTATCCGAACTTCCTCCGTTAACACCCTGCAGCTCAAGCGCTTGTTCACGAGATATCACAGTATAAAGCTGCACCACTTCTTGATTCACCGAATCTTCACTATAACAACTAAGAGTCACGCGCATTAATCCCAAAGATTTTGGCTCTCCACACAAAGGATCAAACACGAAACTAAAATCGTCAAACACTAAATCGGGTTTCTTGAAAAGATTCAATAAAACGTCACTGATGCTCTGTCCAAGATTCTTCTGTATGACGGACTTCCTAGGGTTAGTTTGTCTAGCCCGTGTAGCTTGGAGGATGCGAGCAGCTTCTCTGAGGCCACTCAGATAAGCACCATGCATGGTGGCAGGGTATTGCCTATTAGTTGCTTCGCCGCCGAAAAATAAACGACCCTCTATGCTTTCTGCGAGGATATCATAGTCATTTCCAGAAGATTGCACTCTGATGTGTGAATACGAACCGTAAGAAAGAGGATCGCTCCCCCATCTTGTACATATTGATTGTATAGGATCTGGCACGTGGATTCCCTGGGGCCCATATATACCTGAAAAAAGATGGAAATTAGACCTAAAAAGGCTCAACAAAACATGCCAAAAAGATAGACAAAAAACAACATAGGCATTAATATCTACAGATTAGGTGGCGAAGCCAGCATGGGACATCGAGGGGGCCATGGCCCTCACCGTTTCTCGAAAACTTATCATTAAATGTAGAGATTCGTTATAATTAAAAATAGCGCAAGATAGCAGAATTAGTAATTATTATACCTCTGAGAATGCCCAAAACACGGTGAACTGAAGAAGCGGGGTCCGCATTTTCAAAAGGCTGCGCTGCATCTCCGGCGACAAGAGCAACGAGGACCGGAGCACCCGAAACGGTGTGGTAGCTGTAAAACAAAAAGAACTCCCCCCTTTGTTGGCTTGATTCTCTCAGCGAACCAAACGTATCCAAATCTTCGCCCCAGAAATTATGGGGGAACACCATAGCAACCTTATTAAGCAAACCAAAACCGAGTCTTTCTATTGCTGCTAGCTTCCTTTCAGGCAACTCGGGTTCGAATCGGATCGCTCTCTTTTTAAGGACTCCTAAAGGCACTGTGCAAAGAACCATGTCTGCTCGAAAGACTTGGTTCCCTGCAATAACTTCAACGCCTTCATTCCCATACCTAATGGTTTCAACGGTCTTGTTGTAGAAGATCGGAACCCCTTTACACAAGGCTCTAATTATTCTCCAATTCCCACCCGCGAGAAAGCAGTGGTCCCCACCCATCTCGTAAGGGTCGTCTTGATCCCAATAAGCAGCAGAAAGATTCGAAAGTCCACCGGCGTTGGAAAATTCCAAGTTAGCGAAATGCCAATCGAGAAGCTGTCTTTCGTCATTGCTTCTAGCGACGGCGTATAACTGTCTAAGTGTTTCAAGAACCGAACCTAGAGAAATATTAGCCGCAAATCCGCTCATTATTTGCCTAAGTTGGGTGACTTTATCAAGAAGCTTATTAAATACATGCTCGACATTCGTATCGATTTCCTTATCAACGGGCCCACCATCTGGCTTGTAAAGAGGACAGTTGTCTCTTACCTTGTGAAGAGGAACCGAAATCTGCCTAGCTAAAACACCCAACGGATTTGCATGAATGCCAGTTATTACACTACCGCCAAGATCGACAGCTGCGTAATTACCGTTTTGCCCCATCTTCTGAGTGTACACTCTACCTCCGGGGCGGGCCCTACCTTCTAAGACGAACACTTTGAAACCGAACGCCATAAGCTGCCTTGCTGCTGCCAATCCAGCAAGACCTGCACCGACTATTATCACGGAAGCTTCCGTAGTTTCCTCGAAAATCTGCGACTCGAACGAAGCCGAAATCCCGAAATTAATGTACCCATTACACAGGAGGAAGTCGTAGGCAGCATTTATCAAGTGGGCGTAATCGTTGCTCACTGTTTCCCTTATCTGCCCTTTGGAAAGCCACGAGTGCACATTGGCCCTCCACCTTGCGAGTATGTGGTTCCGCACGACTATGTAGTTGTTCTGCTCTTTCCCGTTTAACTCGGTTACCACCCCGGCCCCGATTTCCTCTTCGAGCAGCTCGTCGATTGGGAACCCTAAAGATAGCGCTATCATGGCTTCGGTCTCGGTTTCTTTCTCCAAGTCTTGCTGCGTTCTGTTTTTCTTCCTCGAAGAAGTGCCCAAATGCTTCTCTATCAGATCATCCATTAGATTCTCGTCGTAGTTTTTCGTGATCGTTTTTCTTCTCGATGATCTCTTGGAACCGGAACTATTAGGTAATACCGGGGTATGCCCAGTCTCCCCCATTGTTTCCACTTTCTGAAACCTTCTTAACTGGATTCCCAAAATTCAAATATCTAAAACTTTGATCAGAACCTCATTAAACATTTCTTCAACAAAACAACCATATACATTCCAACAAAATTCGAAGTACGAACTAAATTCTTCTCTGATCAACTAATAAACAACCAATCATCACGAGTCTTAGACATCAACTAACAAAAACCCATAATTCTCTACCACATTCCTTCTTAACTACAAAATGCTACAAAAAAATCCAGTTTCCAATTGGAAGAACTTAACGTCCGGCACGATGATGTAACGGAAAATAGCCCAAAACTTGACTGTAAATGATAACTGAATTCCTTCAATTTTTATCAATTGTGAGAATTCAGCGCCGGACGGAGTGACGGCGAACAGTAAAACAATGGTGCGGGGAATTGGAGAGGCGGAGAGGACAACGTACGGCTGAGGGAAAGTCGAATTGCTGAGGGCGGAATTGCGGTTGAGGGGAATTAGGGTTTATTTTGGGAAAGATTTTGCACATAGACAAGGACAGGGCGAGTTGACTCAGTGACGTAGGAAATTGTACAATTGTTTGGAGGGAAATTACACGTGTAATGGGATGTGTAAAAATGCCAGCTAGGAAATGATAAATGGGCCTTTTAATTGGATCATGAAACTTGTGATGGCTTTCATTGGGCCCACGGGCTTCAAATATATGCGTATGTTAGATTAAAATATTTATGGTTAAATACATTTTGCACCTCTGAAGTATAGCATATTAACGATTGTCCCTTAAAGTATCATTTGTAACACTTGTCCCCCCAACATCAATTATTTTATATTTTAAAATTTAAAACATAATAAACATAACAATCTAATAATTATTGTATCATGTAAAATTGAAAAGTAACTAAAATTAAATTATTCAAAATTAATTAGAAAGTAATTTATATTGTAAATAATGAATGAAAATATATTTTAAGAAATTAATGAACTAAAATAAATTTAAATACTTAAGATTACTATTAGTTTTCTATTGATTTCTTCAAATTTATTGATAGGAATATATTCGACTAATTGGTCGAACAACAATTACATGTTATTTATTAAATATATACCCAACGAAAGATAATATTTTTAAACTTTTAAATATTGCATTTTTCAACAGATAATTTTAGTTGTATAATTTAATTATTCCTTTCAGTAAAAGAGAAAATTTTAAGGTACTAGAATTTAAAATACAAATTAAATTATGCTTGAGGGGGTACGTGTTACAAATGATACTTTAAGAGGTAATTTTTACAGAGGGTATACTTTAGGGGTGTAAACTGTATTTAACGCAAATATTTAAAACTAAAATAAAAATTGGAACTGAAAATTTATTTCTAATTTTGTTCCGAAAAAATAATTGAAAAATATTAAAAAATAAAATTTTGGATATAAAAATGAAAAAAAAAACTGATATGCCTAATTGACCCAACCTAATGGGCCTACAAATTATTTACCTACTGGGCCACGAGCTCAATATCAAAAACCACTATCACCGAGGCCCAATCACCTTCAAGTAAGGTTTGGGTCCGACAATCTCGACTAAGCTATAAATACACGTTTGAACTCATTCCTTAAGGTACGTCCTATTAATTGAGCAATACTACAACTGTATTCTCTCGACTATTTCTTCTATCAGCACGTCTGGCTTGAGCGTCGGAGGGTTTTCCGCCGGATCAACCCCGACGTAGTTCACGTGTGCTCATTTCGCAGGGACCTCAAAATCATCAAGTTGACAAGCTACTGATCAGCTTTGCTCTCCCAGCTCGTTTTCTACACTACCCTAGGTGATCTAAGTAATTAGCATCATCATTTTGGCGCTGTCTGTGGGAACGATGCAAACAAGATCACGTAGCCAACAAGATCCTCCTGAGGCGTTTGCTCGGAAAGAAAATGACACAGCTAACAACCTCCCGGTCCGTGGAGGTGTTGGTCGAAAACCTACACGCAAGTGCACGTATCGTACAAGTAATATAGTGGACAATTAAGTCCGGATATCGAACCCACAGGGAATATTTAATTATCTAATCCTAGACGCTAAATTCTACCAATTATTATCAAGCCCACCCTACACAGTCGAATAAGGATTAATAAACTAAATTAAACTAAATTAAAAACAAGCAAAAACAAGAAAGCAATTTAAAATACGAAGATTAATCAAAGTAGACAAGCCTAGGATTTTATTCTTCCCCCTATGTGATTATTACTCCCCCAATTCCTTCAATTATGCAAGCAATTAACCCGGATTATTAACCTGAGATGCTGAAATAATCATAACCCGCTTCCGCGTGTATTACGATTCTAACACTCTAGATTCAATTACTATATTCCTATGCAATTAATTCTAGAACACAGCATTAAGCACAAATCTCTATAATGGCTACCTAAGAGATTAACTATATTCCTATGTTAATACCACAAAGGCTCTTCTACCACAGTTCTAATTATTAACCCGATCTTCCGATTCATGCGATTAACAATAACATAAAAGCGCATAAAGTGGCCAGTTTCATGAACTTAATAAAACAAGTAGAAGAAATAATCCGGAATTAAAACTTGCATAAAATCATAGAATTGGGTTCATAAATCCCACATAGGGTTCCAAATAAAATCCTAGAAATAAGAAAATTAGCTACTCATGATTAAAGGAAAAACACAAATAAAATAAGTCATAAACGATAAATCTATGCTTAGAGTCTTCGAATTCTTCGTCTTCGTTATTGCTTTGTTGCTCTCCAAATTGCGTAAAAAAGATCCCTAATTGTGTGCTTGGATTGATATTATATAGGGTGAAGAACTTGGGGAAGAAGGCAGTTTCCTTGTGTAATTAAAATCCCTTTACTGCGCAACTTCGGAGTATGGGACGGGGGTCCCATAATTTGCACTAAAACTGGGACGGGGGTCCGAGCCTTAAATCTTCAGAATTTTGATATTTTCACTTTTGACCCATATTTTCGCCAAAATTGCAGTTTTGACCCCATACTTTTCCAATTCTTCAATTTGTACCTAAAATACAATAAATCAACTTTTTAAGCACCAATTATTGTTAAAACACACCAAAAGCTCAAATAAAAAGATACGATAAAGTGTAAAAATATACACTTAACACACCCCCAAACTTGAACTTTTGCTTGTCCTCAAGCAAAATTTACCAATAAGCAAATAACTCAACGATAACATCTCATCACATAGATCAATAACCAACTTCACGTTTTCAGAACTTGTAATTATAATGACAATTCTTAGGCATTCGCAAGCTCAAAATTCAACAACACTTAGTCACTCACCATTACCAAAAACCACAATTCATACAATTGCTTCAAGCATCCAATATTTGCAAATTAAAGATAGAAAAAATTTATACTTACATGCATAAGCTTGACTCCAAATACTCACCAAATTATTCTACTCTACTAATATCGAATATTAAGCTATTGGGATCATTGGGGCTTTGTGGCTTTCAACTGTTAGGCTCTTTGGTTCGAGGTAGGAAATATGGGTATATGTGGCTATTCTTCTTGAATTGAGGTGATTACGCCAAAATTTGAAAGATAGGCGTTTGAAACAATGAATTCACCTCTACGGACTTTAATAAACTTGATTCTCAAAAGTTCAAAAGTCTCCACTTTTGCTTTTGAGGCAATGGATTGAGTTTTCAAAAATAATTCAACAACTAGTCCTTATTTCTCCCTTCTAGTCTCTTCTTCTTCTCTTCTTTCTTTTTTCTCTTTTTTTTTTTATTTTATTATTATTTTTTTTTAATATATATAGAAGCATATATATTTGTCTTTTTTTTTTTTTTTTTTTTTTTTTTTTTCGAAGAAGAAGAAGGACCTTATAAAAAAATTTCGACCGAACTCCAAGGGGTAATTTTCAAGAATCTCCACCTATTCTACCTTACCCATCGGCTAAAAGAAAGAACACCTGAACGAAAAATTTAAGAAAAATACGAAAACAATAAAACTCGGGTTGCCTCCCGAGAAGCGCTAAGTTTAAAGTCTTCAGCCGGACGTTGCTTCTTTAATTTCAAGCAAAAGTGACCGAAGTCACTTGGCAATCTTCACTCGCTTCCCAATACGGTTTGAGCCGGCTCCGTTTTACGTTGAACGTACGATTTGAATCCCGCTCCTTTATCTTGACCACCTCGTGAGGAAGAATTTCTTGGACAATAAATGGCCGCGACCACTTTGATTTGCGCTTCCTTGGAAATAACCAAAGACGGGATTTGCACAATAACACCAATTGTCCTTTGTGCAATTCCTTTTTGATTTTCTCCTTACGACCACAATAGCTTGACTCATCCTTCTCTCGTGACTTGCTCGAGCTTTTGGGTGGCAATATCTTCCTTGCATTCTCATCGTTGTTAAGACCTCGACTCCCATGACTTTCTCTCGGAGGATTTAAAAGTGAGTCCATGAAATAAACTTGCTCCGTCCGATTCCCGTTTCCGCCATCATCTCCTGCACTCAAAGATGCTTTCCCATTGTCCAAGATCGAAACATCAAACTCTTCATTATTTGTAAAATCCATAAGCTCAATAGCAAAACAATCATTATTATCATATGGATTTTTATTAGCACTAAAAACATTGAATTTTATTGTTTGATCATGCACAGTCATTGTAAGATCACCACTAGCACAATCAATGAGAGTTTTCGACGTGGCTAAAAACGGTCTCCCTACGATAAGAGGTATCTCCCTATCCTCATCTATATCAAGTATAACGAAATCGACAGGGAAGATAAATTTATTGACTTTCACTAGCACATTCTCTAAAATACCTTTTGGGTAAACTAAAGATCTATCGGCTAATTGAAGAGTTATAGCCGTCGGTTCAATTTCTCCTAACCCAAGATTTTTAAAAGTAGAGTACGGCATAAGATTAATGCTAGCGCCTAAATCAATGAGCGATCTAAAATTTTTACCTCCTATAGTACAAGGAATAGTGAACTTACCTGGATCGCCGAGTTTTTGTGGAAGAGGCCGAGTAAGAATTGCACTAATTTGCTCCGTGAGTTGGATCATCTCGTTCCCTTGCAATTTCTTACTTTTCTTCACGAGGTCCTTGAGGAACTTCACCCACTTTGGCATCTTTTGAAGTGCTTCAATGAAAGGAATATTTATTCGAATTTCCTTCAACTTGTCCAAAAATCTTTGATATTCGGCATCGAGCTTCTTCTTTATAAACTTTTGAGGATAAGGAATTGGAGGGACTTGTGAAGGCACCGTCGATGGTGGCTCGTCATGAGATGATTCTTTTTCCTCATTCGTTTTCGGCTTCTCGATTACCGTGCTTCTCTTCTCTTTTCGTGGGGCTTCCTCCAATTGCTTACCGTTCTTCAAGGTGACTGATTGGCATGTCTCGACCTCGATCTTTTTCGTTAGCAATCTTTGTGGATATGGGATTGGCTCGACCCATTCGGCTACAGTGACTTGCGGCTTGATTTGAATTTCTTCCCTTTTTTCGCTCTTGACATCGATAGCTTGGCACGTCTCGAACTTTTGATTTCGAGGATCTTCCGTATTCGATGGCAATGCTCCCGGCGGGCGGTTCTCTTGCTTCAAAGCTAATTGAGCGAGTTGATTCTCCAAATTTCGCAACGAGGCTTGGGTAGCGGTCATGAATTGGGCCAATATCTCATCCGTGTTTGATTTTTGGGCCGGTGGATTGTTGCCTTGATAGCTTTGTTGAGGAAGGGCTTGATTTTGGAATTGACCTTGAGGTCTTTGATATCCTTGGCCTTGTTGATTTCCTCCATATTGCCCTTGTGATCTCCACCCTTGATTTTGAAATTGGCGAGGCGCGTTGTTGACGTAGTTCAGCGACTCCACATCTTGTTGGCATTGGAGTGTGTAATGATTTCCACCGCAAATTTCACAACACGGAGAATCAATTGCTTGGACTTGTTGTGGCGGACTTGCTTTGATGTGCTGCAGAAGGAGTTGATTTTGTTGAGCAATTTGGGTCACTTGAGCTTGAAGGGCCGTAATTGCATCTAACTCCAACACTCCGGGAACTTTCTTGGATCCACTAACCGTCCTCTCGCTTGACTTGGCAAACCGATTTTGAGCAATTTGATCTAACATGATAAATGCATCCGGTATCGATTGACTCATAAAATTCACCCCGGTTGATGCATCTAAGACCGTTCGTGCATTCTCGTTAATCCCTTGGTAGAAGATGTGGATTTGCCGCCATTGTTCGACTCCATGTGTTGGACACTGCCGCAAAAGAGTTTTAAATCTCTCCCATGCCTCGTATAATTGCTCGCCTTGCTCTTGGACAAAATTGTGAATTTCTCGTCGGATTCTCTCGTCCTTCTCGGGTGAGCTATAGACTTTCATGAAAAGATTTAGGAGTTGAGGCCACGACGAGATAGAGTGGGGGGCTTGGGACATCAACCACTGGCGAGCTCTTCCTTGTAGGGAGTGCTTGAAGAGAATTAATTGAAGCGCCTCTTGGGAAACGCCGTTTTGACGGTGGGAATTACAGGTATCTAGAAAATTGACAATGTGAAGATGGGGATCTTCACCTGCCAACCCACTAAATAGCCCGTTATTTTGGAGCATCGTCAAAAGTCCTTGCTTGATCTCAAAATTATGCGCCTCAATGGGTGGATATTGGATGCTCGGGCGGAATCCGTCTAGAGTTGGGATTATGTAATCTTGAAGTGCTCGTGGACGAACTGCTGGCTGTGCTGGAAGTTGATGGGGAGGGTCTTGCACTTGGTTTCCGTTGGCCTCGAGTAAATTACCCGCGGCCCTGCGTTCTTCGTCCTCCATTATATTATTTGCGCGTTGAAGTCTCCTAGCGGCTCGAAAAGTGCGAGATCGAGTCTCCTGCGCATACAACGTACCTAAAACAAAAATAAAATAAAACGAAAATTAAATGGGTGAATCGTGAAAATTGTTCAAATCTAGAGCTAGAATAAAATAAATAATTAAAATATTCCCCGGCAACGGCGCCAAAAACTTGTTGGTCGAAAACCTACACGCAAGTGCACGTATCGTACAAGTAATATAGTGGACAATTAAGTCCGGATATCGAACCCACAGGGAATATTTAATTATCTAATCCTAGACGCTAAATTCTACCAATTATTATCAAGCCCACCCTACACAGTCGAATAAGGATTAATAAACTAAATTAAACTAAATTAAAAACAAGCAAAAACAAGAAAGCAATTTAAAATACGAAGATTAATCAAAGTAGACAAGCCTAGGATTTTATTCTTCCCCCTATGTGATTATTACTCCCCCAATTCCTTCAATTATGCAAGCAATTAACCCGGATTATTAACCTGAGATGCTGAAATAATCATAACCCGCTTCCGCGTGTATTACGATTCTAACACTCTAGATTCAATTACTATATTCCTATGCAATTAATTCTAGAACACAGCATTAAGCACAAATCTCTATAATGGCTACCTAAGAGATTAACTATATTCCTATGTTAATACCACAAAGGCTCTTCTACCACAGTTCTAATTATTAACCCGATCTTCCGATTCATGCGATTAACAATAACATAAAAGCGCATAAAGTGGCCAGTTTCATGAACTTAATAAAACAAGTAGAAGAAATAATCCGGAATTAAAACTTGCATAAAATCATAGAATTGGGTTCATAAATCCCACATAGGGTTCCAAATAAAATCCTAGAAATAAGAAAATTAGCTACTCATGATTAAAGGAAAAACACAAATAAAATAAGTCATAAACGATAAATCTATGCTTAGAGTCTTCGAATTCTTCGTCTTCGTTATTGCTTTGTTGCTCTCCAAATTGCGTAAAAAAGATCCCTAATTGTGTGCTTGGATTGATATTATATAGGGTGAAGAACTTGGGGAAGAAGGCAGTTTCCTTGTGTAATTAAAATCCCTTTACTGCGCAACTTCGGAGTATGGGACGGGGGTCCCATAATTTGCACTAAAACTGGGACGGGGGTCCGAGCCTTAAATCTTCAGAATTTTGATATTTTCACTTTTGACCCATATTTTCGCCAAAATTGCAGTTTTGACCCCATACTTTTCCAATTCTTCAATTTGTACCTAAAATACAATAAATCAACTTTTTAAGCACCAATTATTGTTAAAACACACCAAAAGCTCAAATAAAAAGATACGATAAAGTGTAAAAATATACACTTAACAGGAGGCTCTGGCTTGCTACCTCCTCCACGTGCCGCGGATCCGCCTCGCGAGGTTCAGGTGATCCCCCCTCGGGACCCACCACTCGCCGATCCACCACTCCCTACTCCTCGAACGGTTCAAATAACCGAGGATGCACTCCAACGCATGATAGCAGAAGCTTTAACTCGCGCTGCCACAGAGGCCGTGACCCAATATATCGCCACGATGAGAGTAAATACTCCTAACGCGATACCAGCACCTGCTCCACATGTGTAGCCACCTATGGCACCACCGCCAGTCCAGAACCAAATAAGTGTCTCCTCCTCTACCTCGGACCCACGGTCCCGAATGCAACAATCTACTCATCGCCAAGAGGCACGAACTGAAATTCAAAATAAATATCTTTGTTCCAAAATTATAAAATTTCGGATAGAAATGGGCGAAAATTCAAACTTGCATTTTTTTACCCTGTGTGTGTGCGTGGGTCGTGGGTATTGTTATTATTATTTAACTTTACGGTGAAATAATAAATAAAAGGATGATGAGGAAACATAGGCAAGAATCCAGGCGATTTTGGAACATAACGAAAAGACTGGTTTTAATCGCACATGTATTACGCCGCCATGAATTAAGGACATCTCGGATGAGATAAACGGACAACTTATCATGTGATTAATTAGTTTTTTTTATAAATCAGACACAAATGTCAACTGTACAATTAACTTTATTTATTCATATTTATATATATTAAACCAGATTACAGCCCCCCTAAAGCATTGACCAAAAACATAATTATTTGCTTCACAGAAATAGACCCGATCTAAACAAAGTCTTTGTCCGGAATAAATAAAATTCAAGAGAATTTGGGAAAATAACAGTTTTCACCCCTCAAGCTTGCACCGATTTCACTTTCGGTCCCTCATATTTTAAAATTTTAACATTTTTAGTAATTTATGTCAATTTTACGTTAAAACTAACGGAATTAACCGTGGCGCATCATTGCCTTAACTGATAGGCTAACGTTACGTTGACGGAAATGACCAAAAGCGTTAAATTATTGAAACATGAGGGACCAAATGTATTTTTTGTCAATATGGAGGACGGAATGTGAAATTAGTGCAAATTTGAGGGATGAAAACAAAAAAATTCCCTTGAGAATTCCTTTTTATATATATATATATATATATATATATATATATATATATATATATATATATATATATTCTTTTTTATGGATATAATCATATAATCAGTCCTCTTACTTCTCTTAGTTCAGTTTTATATGATATATATTTGTTCTTATATATTTTACTTGTATTTTAGTTCTATGACGTAACAAATAATAAATTTGACGAATTTAATATACTTATTGTACGCCTCAAACGTTATAAATTTGCCGTATAAGTTTTGATATAATTTTATGATACGAGAGAGGACAAATTGAAATTAGCACTTTCGAATTTGCTTTTAATTATTTTCGGAAATTATAAACTATCTCCAATAATTTTGTCCCAATAAAATTCTTAAATTTGACTAATTTTTAAAAATTGGATATCAAAAGCTAGCACAAAATTGGACATTTTTCGTATAAAAATGGGCAGAAATATATAGGAAATTTCATTTTTATATTGCATGAAATATAAAATACGTAATAAAATTGATATTGTAAGTGTAACTTTTGGAAAGTTCTTTTGATATTTTTTGGGATTATTTTGAAAATTAAAACGAGATTGAAAATCAGAATCTTATACGTATTCCAGTCTTGATAAAAAAAATTCAAAAGAAAATTAGAATCGGTTAATTCGAAATGAAAAATAATGTTCAGAAACTAGAGTTTCCGGATCGAAATTGATACATTTCAAAGTTTTGTCTTGATTTCCACCCTTAGGTAGCCAAATTCAACCAAAATTGGTCCAAATATGCTAAAATTTGCAAAGTTATATTGCATGTAAAAACTAAATTTAGAAACTTTAAGGAACTAAATCTCCGAATAGGCGAAAGAAAAAGGACCAAAACTACAAATTTTTCAGTATACATAATATATGCAATATTAAATGTTTCACCAAAGAATAAGTCCATGTGATTGCACTCTATATAAAGAAGAAGAAGTGTCCCTTAGTTTACACAACTCAATATATTGTATTACAAATTACTTCATTCTTGCTCTTGAAAAAAACAAATTAAAGCAAGATGATTTCAATTAGCAACAAAGTGTTGGTCTCACTTGTGCTGGTACTGATATCTCATGTTTGTTTAGTACGAGGATACATTAATACAGAGACAGTCGTATGTTACACGAAGAGCTGCCCGTGTTTCCTCAAACGCGTCAAATGCCCAATCCAGTGCCCCTCTCAACATCCACAAAACCCTAAAGATAAAGCGTGTTTCCTTAACTGCAACTCTCCTATATGCAAGGCCGAATGCAAACGTAAGTCGTGCTTTGCTATTTTCGCATTATTTTTTTTGGATAAATTACTAAAACCTCACTGAACTTATTAGGCTAAATAACGAAAAACGCCGCTACAGCTCCACTTATCCGTAATAACCAAAATCCTCATCTGATTAACTGTTGATCGAGTTTTTTAATAGAAAATGTGTACAGTCTATTATATCTTATGTTAAATAAGTGAGAAATAAAAGAAAATATCTTAAACAATGAAGAAAAAAAAAACCCGTGAAAAGTCACACTGTAAGGGCTTGGTGGAAGACAGAAACAAACCTCAAGGTTTTTTTTGGTAATTACGAATAGGTGGAGGTGATTTTTGTAATTTAATCTAAGTTAAGGGGATTTTTCTTAATTTACCTTTTTTAAAATGTTGTTAATGTATGTATGTATAGATAAGAAGCCGAACTGCAACGGTCCCGGAGCAGCATGCCTGGATCCCCGCTTCATCGGCGGAGACGGCATAGTTTTCTACTTCCACGGCAAGAGCAACCAGCACTTCACCTTACTTTCCGACCGGAATCTCCACATCAACGCGCGTTTCATCGGCCTTAGACCCGCCGGAAGACAGAGGGACTTCACGTGGATTCAGGCGCTGGGTATTCTGTTCGACAACCACACTTTCTCCGTCGAGGCGACCAAGGCTGTAAAGTGGGACGACGGAGTCGACCGTCTTAAGTTCTCCTACGACGGCGAGGAACTGCACCTGCCGGAGGGGTACCCGTCGCTCCTCCGGACATCGCCGGAGAACAGTGGCAGCGGCGGCGGCGGCGGCGTTGAGGTTGAGAGGACTTCGGACAGGAACGGGGTTCTGGTGGTTTTGCCGGAAGTTGCGGAGATTTCGATCACGGTGGTGCCGGTGACGGAGGAGGATGACAGGGTTCATGGGTACCGTATACCTTTTTCCGACGACTGTTTTGCCCATCTGGAGGTGCAGTTCAGATTCATCGGCGGATTGTCCCCGGAGGTGGAGGGTGTTCTGGGGAAAACTTACCGGCCGGAGTTTGTGAATCCGGCGAAGCCCGGAGTGGCGATGGCGATTGTGGGAGGTGAGGATAAGTACAGGACTTCTTCTCTTTTGGCTGCTGACTGTGTGAACTGTGTGTTTTCTCATGAGAGTGTGGAGCTTTAGTTTTTCTCACAATTAAAACTAGTGATATAGTTTTAATTATTTAAACATTTTTAATTTGTTCAATATTAAACATTTGAATTGTATTTTGAATATTTTCTCGCAGTTATCAATTCGTAAATTAATTATTCAAACATTTTTTTTTCTTCAAATCTATCATTTCGTAGTTATTTTCTCACAGTTACTTCCTGAGTTGAGTTAATTTTAATTTGTTCAATATTAGCAGACTGCTTGCCCCTTTTCATTCTATCTATAGTTTTAGGTTTACTTTGATTGGAAATATATATATATATTTGAAAAAAACGAAATTTATTAGGCTAAACCAGCCAAACTAGAAGGAAGAGAATATCCTTCCGAACAATCCAAAACTGAAGAGGTAGCAATAGCATGAGCGAGTTGGTTGCAACCACGCTTTACAAATGAGAAAGAACAACTACGAAAAGAAATGGCAAGAATTTTAATGTCTTCTAGATAGGCTCCGTAAGAAGTGAGGGAGCTCGCATCTTCCTGGATAGATTTGATAACCCGTAAATTGTCGCCTTCCACTATAATATCGGGCCATCCATGTGTAGCCGCTTGGAGCGCCGCGTGAGCTTCGCCTTCGACTGGGCTCACTATTCCCTGTACCCTAACCACATTCCACCACAAAACTTGGCCGAGAGAATTCCTCGCTACCATCGCCATCTTATAAAAGTCGCAGTTTGTTGGTAGTGCAATGTCGAAATTGACCTTAACAATACCAGTCATGGGAGGTTGCCAATGCGTTTGACTTTCCGAAATCGTGGCAGGCAAATTAGGGCCGAGAGTCTGATGGAAGACTTCCAAATAACTCTCACTCCACGACACCAGCTCACCTACTCCAACTCCGGGATTCCCATGCACGTCATTGTTCCGCACCTCCCACAACTTCCAGCATACCACCATTGCCAAGAGAAATAATTCGTTAGTTAAATTTTTGTGAAGAAAAGATAACCATGCCTGGAAAGATGTGAAGTCTCTGCACACACGTAGGTTAAACGGCTCTGTCATCCACACCATCGAAATATTTCTACAATGCACTAGAACATGCATAATCGTTTCTGGGTGGATCCCGCAGTGTCCACAAAACGAAGAGCGAACGACATGCCGCCTGAAAAGTGCCACGTAAGTGGGGAGGATGTCCGAGATTGCTCGCCAAAGAAAATGTTTGATCTTGGGAGGGATCGAGAGGTTCCATACCAGTTTCCACTGCCTCTTCCGGTCTTCACAACTCGAGGAGGGACCGCTCCCTACTGTTGCCTCTGGAAAAGATCGATTGCTGTGGATTTGATGGTAGCATGATTTAACGGTGAACCGGTCATGTGTAGACAACTTCCACACTAGGCGGTCTTTCGCATGAAAACAGCCGATGGGGACTTCCAGAATCCGGGCTCGATCTATGGGCCAGAACGTATCATTGATGATATTCAAATTCCAAGTTCGTGAATCCGGGTTAATCAAGTCCGCTACAGAATTTGGGAAGGCCGTGTGAGAAGGCCTTTTGGTGAAAATAACTCCACTACCGCTATCCCTCAACCACGGTGTACCCCAAATCGAGGTCGAGAGTCCGTCACCAATTCGAATTCGAAGTCCCATCTTCACGCAAGAACGAGCTGATAGCAAACTTCTCCATGTCACCGAGGGACGAGTACCACCATCCGCTGTCTAGATATCACCCTCTAGGAAGTAGCGGGCCTTTAAAATTCTTGAGAGGATTAAATCTGGATTGGTTAGGATTCTCCACAATTGTTTTGCCAACATGGCTAGGTTGAAGCTTCGGAGATCTCTAAAGCCCATTCCCCCGGAATCTTTGGGCTTATAAAGGTGCTGCCATGAAGTCCAAGCCATGGATCTCGAACGACCACTTCCCCACCAGAACTTCCGAATAGCCATCTCGATCTCCTCTACCAATCCTTGTGGGAGAGAGAAGCATGCCATAATATACGAGGGAATTGCTTGAAGTACTGCTTTGATCAACACTTCTTTCCCCGCCCTCGAAAGAAGTTTCTCGCTCTAACCGTCAATACGAGACCAAACCCTATCCCGAAGAAATCGAAAAATGTCTTTACGAGATTTTCCCATCGTCACTGGCATGCCCAAATATTTCTCATGCTGCTCCACCACCTGGAAGCCCAAGATGTTTTGAATTGAAGTCTTTGTGGAATGAGGAGTGGCTGGGCAAAAAGCAATTGTTGATTTCTCCGTATGAATAATTTGCCCCGAGGCCATCGCGTAATCATTTAGAATTAGGCGAAGAACTACTGCATTATGATCTGAGGCCTCGCAAAAAATTAAAGTATCATCGGCGAAGCACAAACATGAAACTACTGGGGTTGTTGGTGCAATTTTGATTCCCCGGATTTCCCCAGTCACCACCGCCGAGTCTATCATAGCTAGAAGCGCTTCGGTGCAATAGATAAACAAATAGGGAGATAGGGGGTCTCCCTGCCGAAGTCCTCGAGATGGTTTAAGCGATCCAAACTGCGTACCATTAAAGAGAAACGAATAAGAAAGTGTGGAAACACAAATCATAAGCAAATCAACAAAATCTCTCTGGAATCCTAAACGAGCAAGTATTTTGCGTAAGAAAGCCCATTCAATTCTATCATAAGCCTTACTAATGTCTAATTTTGCTGCCAAATAATTTGTCCGCTTTTTAGAATTTGATCTAATGAAGTGGTTTATTTCGTAAGCAACAAGAACATTATTCGTGATTAGACGTTTAGGAACAAAAGCTGATTGGGTTGGAGAAATGACATCATTAAGTAGGGTTTTCATCCGATTGGCAATGACTTTAGATCCGAACTTATATATAACATTGCAAAAACTAATCGGACGATATTCAGTAATTTTCTCTGGATTAACCACTTTCGGGATGAGAACAATAAATGTGAGGTTGAATTTGCTCGGAAGCCGACGATTATTTAAAAAATCTAACACGCAATTGAGAACTGAGTCACCAAGAATCTTGGTCGGTTAATGTTTAAGAATTATGTTGGAAAAATATATATTGGTCGGTTAATATTTAAGAATTATGTATTAACAATTAAGATCCAATTATAGAATTGGGTTATAATATAATTTCAAAGTTCATTCCATTGTGACAACTAGGGGTGTAAACGAGCCGAGCCGACTCGTGAGCTCGAAGAGCCGGCTCGTAAAAAGCTCGAACTCGAACTCGAGATTTTTGAGCTCGAGCTCAAGCTCGCGAGCTCGAGCTTTCTGATGAGCCGAGCTCGAGCTGGTTTTCAGTTGTTCATGAGCTCGCGAGCCGGCTCGCGAGCCGGATTTATTATTATTATTATTATTTTTTTTTTTATATGTTATTTTTATTTAAATAATGTATAATAATGTAAAATATTATAGAAATAAATACAAATATTAAAAATATATATAATTACAATTTAGTTTTTATTTTTTATTTTTTTAAATAATTTTTAATAATAAAATAATAATTAAAAAAATATTTAAAAAAAAAAAAAAAAAAAAAAGATAATGGGCTCGAGCTCGAGCTCGAGCTCGACACAACTGACACGAGCTCGAGCTCGAGCCAAAAAAAGAGGAGCTCGCGAGCTCGAGCTCGAGCTCGAGCTCGACAAAATAAACTCGAGCTCGAGCTCGAGCCAGCCAAAAGAGGCGAGCTCGGCTCGAGCTCGGCTCGTTTACACCCCTAGTGACAACAAACGGGATCTTAAGAAATTATTAATTTGTCATTGCATATGATGAATACGTTTATGTTGGATTTTGGGCTGAATGGATATTATTTAAGCTAGCCCATTAACACAATTATTCCATGAGATAACCCAATAAGAAATCAGTCCAATAATGCAAAAGCCCAAGTCTCGGTCAAAATATCATAAATCTTTAGATTTTACATTTGATCGTTGATTCTAAGCTTTTGATCCAGTTTACGATCATTCGAGATACTTAATATATATTTGTCTCTCCCACTTGCCATAATTTATGATCTTTTCTCTTTCTCTCTCCTCTCGCTGTACCGCATTCAATTCTTCTTATCTGCTTCCGACGACACTCTCGTTGACGATGACATGGTGTACCAAATTTCTCTTCTCCTTTTGAGACCGTTATATTCTTGTTTATCCTTCTAGAGAGAGAGAGATGCAATTTGAATTTTAACCTATTTTCTAGAGCGAGTGAGATTCACTTCTAAGTATGAGAAAAAAGAGAATTTAAATTATGTGAGGTTGCGGGTATTGGGAGGGAGTTGGTCAAGGTCTAAGTGATTTTGTTCCTATCTAGGGTTCCGAGTTGTCTATTCTTTGTTCTGAATCGTTGGAGCCACCACTAGTTGTTTTTCTGGACGAGAAGTGGCAATAAGAAACTGAGATGTAACATAAAACTGAGTTTCTCAATTTCGTTGGAGTTTAACAATTTATATCTTCTCTATTGGTTCGTTTCTTCATATTCGAAATAGATTAGGTATTATGTATTATCTTCTATTTATCATCAAGTTCAAACGGTGCCCAACAATTTATAAAGTAAATAATGAATATATACAAAGATTAAAATAAAAATAAAATACGAAATTGTAGTAATTAGTAAAGGCCGTTTTGGAAGTTTGTTTATTCGTTGAGAGCAGTTAAGAGTATCCAAGTGCTCTGAGTTCGATGGGCCTGCTAAATTCTATGGCCCAAATCGTGCTTTGAACAAATTCATCTCATTTACCTATAAATTTAGGTCCACTATTTTAGCCCATAATTTGGCACCACAAATTTAATTTAATTCAAAATATATATAAAGTCTTTTTGGTTCTCGAAATATATTTTAATAAACTTTTATTCAAAATTATTCAAAAAATAATAGTTATAGTTTATCAACTCTTAAAAGTATTAATTTATGTTTTGTTGTGCCGTTGGTTTTGTAAAATAAAAACCTACACGGCTACACTACATACATAAATGGGTTGTTAAGCATGCATGTTTACATTTTCAAATTAAACATTCAATTTTCGTGGAAATTAAAAGAGTCATGTTTTTTTTGTTCTTATTTAAAGTCATATGTGGATACCTCTAATTTCGTGCCACGTGGAGTATAATCCTTTGAAGCACACCTATTGAGTAGAAATATTCTTCAACACGTTTTTAAGTCAAACCGAAAAGGAAATTGCAGCCAGAGATTAAAAGGAGAAAGTCGTGAATAAGCTGCGCCTAACAAAGAAAAAAATGAACCACAATAACTGAACTTGGCCCACATAAATTAGAAAATGAATAATATGACTGAATGAAAAAACAAATGTCAGTGTGCATTCAGAAAAGAAATCACGTAACCTAAATAAATTAAAAATAAATAAATTCTCAACTTAATCCTAAATTAATATTACAAAAAAAAAAAAAAAAAAAAAAAAGAATAAAAAATTGCGAATGTAGAATGTGACAGGAGCAAGTTGGAGGGGTGGTGGGGTTTAACATCGTACCAAAAAGCTGGGACTTGAATTTAAGGAGCTAGTTCGGCTGTACGACGTAGTTTCGTGTTTATTTCTTCTTCCTTAATTTGGCCTTGCAAACACTGTGATGCGATCTACTTTTTCCACACGCACACGTCACGCATATTTATTATTAAAAAATAAAGAGTAAACTACGAAAAAGCCCCTGAAACTTAGATTAAATTATGAAAAACACCCCCAGCTATTCCTAATTACCAAAATCCATTCAACTTTTGTTCTCATATTGCACCAAACTCCTTACGATTTGATTTTTCACAAAAAAAATTTTTATTACATAGAATATTCACGGAAAAATATCGATTACACCCTTGCGGACGTGACATGATACTTTTAAGAGATAAAAATTACTCTCTCAAAGTCGTTACCCCTTTGTGTGTAATTTTTATCTTTAAAAAGTAACATAAAAGAAATTCCACATTTTTATATTCTCTAGAAGGATTCTGTGAAAAATCACACCGTAAGGAGGGTGTTGTAAGACGAAAACAAACATCGGGGGGATTGTTATAATTACGGATAGATAAGGGTATTTTTCATAATTTGACCTAAGTTCAGAGGTTTTTATTAATTTACCAAAAAATAAAATACAAAGTGAAATTAAACAACTCCGACATCAAGATGCTTGGCTTGAATATTACAGCACAAATATTATAAATTAGTTAAATTAAATAAATAGCTCTTAATTACACCGTGTCAAAACTCCAACAACTTTGAATTTCAAAAAAGAAAAGGAAAATAAAAAAATATAATACATCAATATAATAATACAATATAATTACAAAACATGGAGAAATTAAATTAAATTAAAGAAAGGCTGATGAATCTGTGCACTGTAAATTTCGACGAAGAATGAAACAATCAGGTGTTGTAAGATTTAAGAATACTCCCACAAAAACTACATACGATAGCTTTCCAAGACTTGCAGTAAAATGGGATGTAACAAAACCTCGTCAGAGTTTTCATATCCGCCACCGTGGCGCCGTGCCGGCACCGCGAGCACGTCCCCGCCACCGGCTTGCTTCGCCGCACCACGCTCTTCTGATCCACCAGAAAACAGAAACAAACCATCAATGCCCAAACTTCATATATAAATATATGCGAGGCCCTTTTTCTAGAGAGAGAGAGGGGGGGAGAGAGAGAGAGAGAGAGAGAGAAGCTTACCCGATTTAAAGAGGCCAAAGAACAGTATTTATATAGTTTTATTCTGATGTAATTTCTTACTCAAGCTACAATTAAATTATTGAATGTCTTTTCTATAGGAGAAAATTCAAGCAATTTGACTAATTTGTAGGGCTAAAAATAAAAATATAAAAACATAATTTTCAATACTCGATTTGAAATTGATTGTTAAAACTTAAAAGCTCGGTTCATGAGCTCATTCTGTTCACATAATGAAACAAACTTGAAAATAACATTTTGTACGATAAACTAAGAATTGTTCGACTCGAACTCCACCGCCTCAATTATATAAAAAATATATAAAACATGTTACTCGAGTTCGATTCGTCTCTGGCTCGATTAAAGCTCGTTTTAGCTTGATTTATGTTCAACTCGATTAAAGCTCGTTCGAGTTTGACTTGATTGTTTATCAAACCAAACTCAAACACAACTTAATAAAATCGATTAAAACCCTAACAAGTTTGAACTACTAATTCAGAAAAGAAAAACAAAAATTGAACTGCCATACATTTAACTCGACTCGATTCGTTTACAACTCCACTAGCTGGACTATCATGATGTTGATTTTTACTAGTTTTAGTGTTATTAAAGCTTAAATTCTAAATATTACTTGTTGGATTATATCCCATAAAATTCAAAAAAGAAAAATCTCATAAAATTACATAATAAATAAATAAATACTATTAAAACTTATTTTTAATGTACAAAATTAGTAATGAAGTCATAAACACCAAAAAGGTAATTTACCATTTGAGACTAGCTAGGGAGGATATTTGGATGTATAAGATTGTGGTTGGATGATCGACATCTGTCAAATATGGTTGGTTGAGCAATTATTATGTTTTAATGAAGTTAGATATGGCTATAACCCTCCTAAGCAAATCAAATTACAGCATATATCTTTTGATGAATTAATTCATATCTTAGTTACTAAGATATTGAATTTTATGTATAGGGGGGTTGAGATTTAATAAATGAGGTCATTCTATTTTAAATTTTATTATTTAGTTTAAAAAAAAATTATTAATGCAAATAAGATATATCAACACATATATATGTTGTACATTAAATTAGAGATGGAACAGGATTAGGAATGAAATGTCTATTTTGGGATTCTATGGAGTGACAAGATTGAGATTTTCAATGATTTAAATTTGAATTAACATTCTTTTATTTGATTATGGTCTCTATTTTTTTTTCTCTGAAACCATATATTTATTTATCAAAACGACAAATATAAAAATGTTTTTCTTTAATTTTCAATTCCAAACCTTACTAGGAATCAGACTCTTATGGAGTGATAAAACGGTAGATGTTTGTTCTATGCAACATTCAATAAAATTAATCGGCGAGTTTTATATATATCCTACTATACACGTATATAAATGATTAAATTCGTTCATATATTTAGCAGGATGTATTTGTGATATTGTGTAAATCAAAGTCGAAAATTGTTGAACGAAAATCATCATATGATAAGCTTAATTGGGTCGAACCTACAATTTCTTTACCTACTAGGCCACGAGCTCAATATTGAAGACCACTACTATCGAGGCCCAATCACCTTCAAATAAGGTTTGTGCCCGACAATCTCAACTAATTAAATTGCAACCCAATCAACGAGGTATAAATAAATGTTTTAACTCATTCCTTTAGGTACGTCATATTATCTGAGCAATAGTACAACATGTATTCCTTGGACTATTTCTACAATCTGCACGTCTGACTTGAGCTCGGAGGGTTTCCGTCGAATCAACCACCGACTTAGTTTGCGTGTTCTATGATCGTAGGTATCTCAAGGTTATCAAGCTCGTGATGCAGTAATCCACTTTACTCTTCCAACTCATCTTACTTTAACTATTTAAGGTGATCTAACATCTAGCATCATCACAAAATAACAAGTGTAATTTTTTTATAATTATTATTAATATAACTTTTTTTAATGTAAGTTTGGTTCGAAGTAAGAAAATTGGCACTAATGTCTGTTATTGGGTGGCTAATGACTAATGAGTGATGCCCATGTGATAAGGTATGGATCACCTCCCTACCCGTACGTTCCCATTACTATTGTTCCGAGGAGAATTTTTTTTTCTTTTTCTTTTAATGGTATGGCTGACAATTGGGATATGTGAGTCGAGCTTGTATCGGATCTCGTTACTATATGTTTAAACTTATATACCAACGGACCCCGTCAATGAATTGGATTGGCTAAAATGGCTCAAACTCGGCCTGATTCACTAACAGATAGGCTTTGCTAAAATATAATCAGACCGAACCATCGAATTTTATTTACAATTTACATATATGATTAGTATAAAAGTGGATAGTACAACATATATCAACACTCAATACATTGAATTGCGGGCGAATTTGGATATTACCGAAGCTTATACAAAGAACCAAGCAAACAAAATATAGGTTTTTGTTCATTGAACCGAAAATGGACGATTTATACATCATGGGCCTTTAAAGTTCATTTAACATAGTGTCACATGTAGTTGGATACTACTTGAATTGAAATGCCATTTTCTTTTAAATACCTAACATACTAGTAATACATATTTTAAGTTTACTAATCAACATTCAATAATATATGATTTAGAAATATTTCAAAATATGCACCAAATTACACATTTTTTTTTCTTATTCGAGATATACGTAATTCAAGAATTGTAAAAATATAAATTCCTCAGATATGCAACCGTACGAGTCAAAAATTAGCATGGAGAAATTTTTAGATCGACAGAGTTTGTGAGAAAGATATTAAAACATAAAACAATAATAAATACTGCAATCACTTTGTAATCTACCAATTTTTACTATGTAAATATCATGTAAATTACATTCTCCACAATTCCCCCAAGGTGTAGGTGACCAACTTTTTTTAAATTTGTTTAAAGGAAATTGATAGTGCCTTCTGCCTACACAAACACTAAATTAACGCCTTTTGAGTTAAAAATTGAAAAGCACTTTAATATTTTTTTTAATTAAAAACAAATACTTTATGACACTACATAAATAATTTCTCAAAAGGGGAAAAAATATCTAAAGATATGAAATGAAATGGAGGAATGGACAATACTTTATTAATTAATTAGTGAATATTTTTTTTGAGTAAATTCAAGTCCATTACAAGGGGAAATAGGGGTGGGGGGGACTCGAACCCTAGACCGTTACCCTATTGGTAAGGGCTAGGTACCAACTCTCCTAATGAGGGTTGGTCTTAATTAGTGAATATTAAATAGGGGTAATATGCTAAGAGCCCTCAAATCAAACTTAATTTGAACTAAATGATAATCTTAAATTTAATCTTTTAATTAAATCCCTATTTTCAAATAATATATGAGCTACATCCTTTAATTTTTTTTAATACCTAATTTGCCCTTATACCCTAAATATAATATTTATATTCACGTTCCTCCAACTTATCAGATTTATTTCTTTTATTTTATTTTCTCTCTGCTTCTCTCTCGTTCTCTCCCTCTCGTTTTTTCCTTCTCTCAATCTCTATCTCTCCACATCTCTCTCGCCGCTCAGTAATGATTGGGCTGATGACGGCGGCTATGGGCGGTGGCTATAGTGGCGGAGAACAACAGATCTGCAAATTCTGGTGTGGGTCGAGAGGATTTGGTGGAGGCGGCAGCGGTGGGTGGAGGCCGCGGCGGCCGGTGAAGGCGACATCGGCGGGTGGAGGCCGCGGCCGCTCGTGGAGGCAATGACGGCGGGTGGAAAGCGTGGTGGGGGTTGTGTCGTTGGGGCTACGAATGCGATTATGGTTGAGATGTTATGTAAATTAGCTTTTCACTAATCTATTTGATCTAGTTTCCTTGTGTTTTGAAAAAAAAATGTTTGATTTGGGTTGTTCAAATGTCAGATCTAGGTTTTTCGAAAGTTGGTAGGTGACTATAGTCGCGGTGGCTGCGAGCGTGGGTTGCTAGGGTTGGCGGCTAGGGTTTGCGACGGCTAGGAGTTTTTGGTGGCTAGGATTTGGTAGTAAAGCATAGTACACCGTGGTATACTATATTACACCGTAGTATACTGTAGTACACCACTACACTATAGTATACTACAATACGTCGTAGTATACTACAGAAAAATTGAAAAATATGTAAATTGAAATAAAAAAAATAAAAAACTAGCATGTCTTTTTTTTTTTTGATTAGAAAAAATAAAGAAATTTTTATAATAGTGTATAAAATGCTAAAATGAATAACGAGAAAAAGGAAGAAAAACGGATATTTTGAAGAAAAAAAATATTAGATGAAAATATGAAAATATTAAATGTATAATAAATAAAATGATAAATGCAGTTTGGAATTTACTTAATGAACATTTCGAATTTGTGAGTAGAAGGGGCATTTTTGGAATAAATATTATAAAAAATGTGAAACAAATATTTAATTAGACTTGTCATTTAGTTCAAATAAGTTTTGTCACTAGAAACTATATCCCAAGACCCCTATTAACAATCTTTGAAAATTAATTTAAAAACAAAATTAATTATGTGTTCGAAGAGAAAATGCATTGCCAAAAACATTCACACCACACAGTTCCCAAAATCTCAGAGAAACACAAATCTCAGATAGTACCAAAATTCGATGTACCTGCTCCTACTACTCGTACAGGTTCACGCACTTTCTCTCTCTAACAGGCAAGCACCACATCACCCCTTCGTTTTCAATCGGGGTTTCAATTAAATTAAAAAAAAATTGGGCAAAAATGGAGGACGAGAAATACTCCGACGAGTTGAATGTGGCGGTGAGGGGTGGTCCACATGGCGTGTTCCCTCTGCGAAAAGGTGCAGAAGCAATTGCTCTCCACAAATTCCGACCAGGTTAAATCCAAAGACGACGATTCACTTGTTACCGTTGCAGGTAAATTCTGATTTCTCGAATTAGGTTACTTTTTCGTCAGCCGTTTGTTTCCTAATCAGCATTTCTGTGATCGGTGCCGCAGATTTTTGATAATGTGGGAAACGCTCGTTTCATTTATTACGGTTTTGAACATGTATTGAATTTTTGGTTTTGATTAGTTCATATGAATTTTTGGGTTGTTTCATTTAGTAATCGATACAGTGGCCGTCAATTGGATGTAAAATGATTTAAAAAGCAGTGTTCATGAACAAGCATCGATCATCGTTTTACGAAGTAATTATCGATTTGCAAGGCTGTAATACGTAGAATGTGTCTTGAATCACTTAACCTCACATCGAGTAAGGTTAAGTGATGTTTTGCAGCTATGCGAAAATCGGGACTTTGTGCACTAGGGCAATGTAAATAGCTACCGTTTTCTTTTTTGGAATAAACAGATTGGAGTGTGCAAGCGACAGTAAGCTGGATGCTGTCGAAATCCTTCGGCAGCAAAAACATCTCAATTGTGGCCGAAGAAGACATCCAAACTCTATCAAAATCCGAGTCATCTTCTCTGTTAGCAATGGTGGTGAGTGCCGTAAATGGATGCTTATCCGAAGCATCAAGATTCGGTCTCCAAGGACCAGAGAAACCACTCAGCCCTTCACAAATTCTCGAAGCAATCAGCCAATGCAGCTCACGTGGGGGCCTGCTTGGTCAGCATTGGGTACTTGACCCAGTCGACGGGACCCTCGGTTTTGTTCGTGGAGATCAGTATGCAGTTGCACTTGCCTTGATTGATGATGGAGAAGTTGTGCTCGGAGTTCTTGGTTGCCCTAATTATTCGGTTAAAGATAACGGTTTAAATAAGTACAGTCGAGAGAATCGTGTTACGTCGAACGGTGAAGTTGGGTGTGTGATGTACACGAGGAAAGGGAGTGGGAAAGCTTGGATGCAGCCATTGATTCGTTTCGATAAGAGGCTCGATTGGCCGAATTCTGCGAAACTGATACGTGTTTCTTCGGTTGATGATCCTGCACTTGCTACGTTTTGCGAACCGGTGGAGAAATCTAATTCTGACCATTCTTTTGCTGCTGGTGTAGCTAGCACTGCTGGCTTGAGGTGTGCTTATTGCATTATCAACTAAGTTATTATTTGTTACATTAAGATGCTTAGTTTTGTTCTTATCGGTTTCATTTTTTTCTCTCAAAGTGTTGGAAAATAGATAGGAATTTGGCTTAGAATGTATGAATCTATTCTATTAGGTTGTGTTTGGAATTGAGGGATTTGAAATGAATGGATCCGAAATAAGTCCAAATGGGTTAGGATTTGAAAAGACTCCAAACGGGAAGGGATCTGAAATCCCTCACAATTGCTAAATAAAAAATAGAAAACTGTGAGCTGTGGATTTGAAATTTCTCGACAAATAACTCCATCCAAACAACATCAATGGATTTGTTATTACGGATTTGAAATCCCTCCCTCAAATCCTTCCATCCAAATGCGCCCTTAGGTAATTCTTTTCTATCTATGTTAGTAGATTTCTGTCTGTCTTAGGGAAGAAGTCTTTACCAACTCTATCTATATAAAGAGAGTTGACCATTCGATATTGTATGTTTGGCTATCTCTGCTATTCTCTCTGGCTATTCTATAATAAAACAGCCTGCCTGTTTTATTTATATTTATTTATTTATCTTTTTGAATGTTAAAATGCAGAAAAAAGCCGTTGAGAGTTTATAGCATGGTGAAATATGCGGCGATAGCAAGAGGAGAAGCAGAAATATACATGAGATTTGCGAGGTCGGGTTATAAGGAGAAAATATGGGATCATGCAGCTGGGGTTCTCCTTGTGATAGAAGCTGGTGGGGTGGTGACTGATGCAGGTGGGTGCCAGCTGGACTTTTCTCGGGGAATATACCTAGAAGGCATCGATAGGGGTATAATTGCTTGTTCCGGTTCTAAATTGCACGAGAAAATAATCGGAGCTGTTTATGCTAGCTGGGAATCATCTAACTTGTGAGAGCTGCTTTTCTCTCTCTTGTGCCAAGAAACTAAAGAATAAAGATGATAATCGAACACAACTTCAGTACTTGATGCAAGGTAAGGCCATTTCGTAAAAAAAATTGCTTATCGATTTAGGTTTTTTTTTTTTTTTAATTGTTACAAAATTGTGTTTTTAAATAGTTTTCTTGCATATAAAAAAATTTCAGGCCAAGGAAGTCAATAATGGAGCTGTTCTTTGTATACCAAGTTTCATATTTTCCGCAGAAGGTACATTTGTTTGTTACGTTTGTACTAAGGAGGAATCTTCAAACCTGCGGATTAAACGGGCTTCATTGTAGTAGTGAATCGAGAATTTCAACGGGGGGCTGCTCTTTCTCCATGTGGTAATTGAATAATCTAGTAGGCGAGACAGGCGTTTATACTATTCTTGTATAGTTATTATTTACTGGCAGTATTCTCAATCAATTTCCCTATGTAAAAAACCTTCAATACTAGGTTGCAAGTGAAGGAATCGACGCACATGTTCTTGCATAATCGATCTCCATTTTTAACATCGATCAACACAATTAACCAAGATAAGAAACAAACATCAAACAAAATTCAAATATTTGAATTAATAATGGTTAATCTTCCCAACCCAAACAAGGCCTAATAATGTTATACAATTTGAAGGAAAAAATAATATCATCTTCGGGAATATATATAACTTACGTATTGAAATTTCTTGGACCTAGATGTTAATTACAATCATGCCACAGGCATGACGAAAAAACGGCTAGGCCTGGGCCTGAAATTCCGCCACCTCAAGCTCGGCCTCTGACACGGCGGCGCCAAAGCCCTCATAACAATCTCTTTGCTACCCGCCTGCCTTCTCCTCAACCTGTTCCCGGTGGGCGCCGCCGCCTCAAATCCATGGCTAGAAGCAGGAGTTGTGGGACCTCTGTTTATGCTGTGAGACCTCGGCGAGGCCAGATAACTACCCCGGAGATTCAACCTCTTCGTAACACCACCTCCGACGGCTGCCACCGGTGGCCTCGCCGGCGCCGGAATATTCTTACTGGTTTGATCCATAAGATTGATTCGGAAGAGAAAAACAGGGTGGTTGAGATGTATATATTTGCAGAAATGGGATTTAGGACCAAGTTATATATATACACAAGTGGTGAACGTATTATTAATTAATTAAGGGATGAGTTCTAAGAAATATCTGTATGTACTATTTTCAGAATTCAGAAAAGTGGTGCTTTAAAAACTTCTTTTGACTATTGACAGGGTATTGGTTGACCGTGCCAAACACTCATCTATTTTATTATTAATTTATTTTGATTATTTCAACTGCTCTATTCAAATATATTTGTGAGTGGGAGTGGTGGGGGAGAATGAATTGCGTCCTCTTTGGAATATGTTGACCGACGTCGATTTATTACATCATCATCTTAATATTTAGATAATAATTTGAGACCTCAAATGAACAAATGTAAAAGGGATTGAGTATAAAAATCATACATTTTCGATGAAGCCAAGAACATAAATTGATCTACGTTTTTTGTTTGTGAGTGTAGTTGCTGATTGGAGAACAACACATGGAAGGTTCTGGAACCGAATATCGTATTCGTCGCATCAATGTTGTGTAATTGTGTCCATTACTATTCTCATTTGAAACTCTACTTTCTATCTGCCCCATTTTCTGTCTCATTTCTTTATACTAATCTAAAACTCTGTCAATCTTGGGTCAAATGTCTACTTCGACTATGTGCTAGTACCTTCACCGTCTACCTTTAACATGAATCCTATTTATACAAGGATGTCATAGATAAACCCTAAATTCTAAATTCTTAACATAAACCCTAAATTCTTTATCTATGTGATATTCAAGACTTTTGGTAATTGTGTGAACTTGTCTTCTTGAGTATGTGCTTCCTTCTGTGGGTTACTGGGTGAATTTGGGAGAGTGCATTCAGAAAAATCTCATATATATATATATACTGATTTGAATGATCTCACGATCTCTGACGTTGTTCCGTATCCATTAAGAACGAAGGGCGGTTATATTAACGGCATTATAGATGAAAATTTTCATACCTCTAAATATTGGATACTACTAGTAGTAAGTAGTAACAAACCATCTCTATACATCAGGTCTTGTTTGATAAATTGTATTATTAAGTTTGAGGTATAGTTAATAAAGATAATATTTTTTTGGTGGACTATGCGTTAGAGCAACTAGGCCGGCCGACAAGGTTTACACCAAATAAATGGGTCGATAATTTGGCCCAATAAACATTGTAATTCTTACATGCATGTATGTGGGCCTATATATATATATATATATATATATATATATATATATATATATATATATATATATATATATATATATATAATATACTCCCTCCGTTTCATATTAAGTGTTACTTCGATCGTGTTTCTTTTTTTTTTTCCATATAAAGTGTAGTTTAGAAAATGTAGCAAAATATTTTAATTAACTTTATCATATATATGAAGTAAAGTGAAAATAATATCAAAGCTATTTAATAGCTTTTCTGAACTAGTGTGTAAAAGGCTTAAACGACGACTCTTAATATGAAACTGAACGAACCATCTTAATTAAATCCTATACATAAGTTCACATAATATAAAAAAATAAAATGAAATAGGGGTTCTAACCAAACCCCTTTTTTCAGCATGGACACTACTAAAGATATTTGCAGAATCAATCACCATAACCATAATCGGGGAGTTAGATGCTACAGTACTCGATTATTTATGCTGGGAGCAGTTTAACCGTAAATCTGATTAAATAACCATCTATTAAACACTCATATATATAGATGTGTGCGATTATGTGTATATATATCTATAGACTACAGTTGAAATCCACCAAGTGTAAGGTGCATACGTAACATCTAAGTACGCCCATAATTAATCTATATATTCCTATAGCATGTTAAGCACTAATGAAAAGGAAAATCAGTATTAAAAGCTGATTTGTACCATTTCCTTAAATAGAAATAAAATGTGGTTAAGGATAATAAATTTGTGTGGTTAAAAGATAATGATTCCTTTCGATGAACAGAGAGGATGGTCCCTAATTCATGAAAGAGAACCCTTCTTTGTTGTCAAAATTGCATTGATTTATATTTAATTTAGGTCATTTCTTTTCAAGAAATTCAAGAAAATGACACCCACACCACGCTGTTAGTTTCTGGATATTTAATCAAGAAGATGATGGAAATGAAAGCTGTCATTAAGACCAAATTAAGATAAGGGCTAAACCCCTTTTTTTTTTTAATAAAAAAAATTAAATTATTGCCCCTTAATTATTTGAAAGAATATATGCTTTTTGTAGATCGAAAGATGTTTTACCATGTCTGGCTTACTTTTCGAAATCACCAAGAAATGATGGCATGTGAATTAATAATGCAGCAACGGTTAATTTGGGATGTATACTTTTTGATCAAGACAGATGCGTGTTAACTGGTAATTAGCTAATAAGGACGAGATTAATTATAATTACTTGAAATACTATTTTTTATATTGACACCCACATCAGTTAACTGTTGAAATAAATTAAATAAATCAATTTATAAGTTGCTCATGGAAATATTTAATTCTGTCAATTATGTCATAATTATAAGCTGAAATTCCTAAATTTGAAATTTATTGAATATCTAATTACAAAATTCTTATTATTATTCGAACACTTTTAAAAGCATGGAACTATTTATCTGCTTTTGGATATAATTCTGCAAGAACGAATTTACCAACTGAATGGATCGAGCTACCCTTCAACATTTGGAAATATAGAACATTACTTTCCGTCAATTGCTATTACGAACCGAAAAATTAAGCGAATCAAAAGTATTGAGAAAGATGTCAACTTTATATATGTATGGTGCAACCGTCACTAGGAGAAATCTGTTACATGTCGATTGAAAGCAGATTGTGTCATCCCCAGAAACTTATCACATGACATGTGAATTTATGTATATGATCTGATTAGAGAGAGAGAGAGAGAGAGAGAGAGAGAGAGAGAGAGAGAGAGAGAGAGAGAGAGAGAGAGAGAGAGAGAGAGAGAGACAGAGACAGACAGAGAGAGAGAGACA